AGTGTGTGCATGTGTGCAATGCACATATATACTGTGTGTACAGTGCATATGTAGTGTGCACGTGTGCAATGCATATAGTATGTGCACAAGACAGTGTGCGCATGTGTGCAATGCAGTGTGCATGCAATCCACTGTGTGCAATGCATAGAATGCGTGCATGTGTGCAATGCACATATATATATAGTGTGTGCGTGTGTTTGCAATGCATATAGTGTGTGCATGCGTGCAACGCACATATATATACAGTGTGTGCGTAATTCCTACAGAGAGTGTGTTAGCTAGCCTGTGCGGTTCCAGCCTCCTCTCCTCTCCAGCTCAGGTTGCTGCTTGAGACTTTCCCAGCCAGCGGCCGTTCCCCTGGACGCGCACGGCACCCGCAGCCACGCAGACCCGCCGCCACAGGCAGGCACCACCACTGCCCTGCGCAGTACCCTCCTGTTCCGCCACACCCGGAAGTAGCCGCTTGTCCGGCCCCTAGCGAATGCCACACTTCCTGGACCCGGACACCACATCTCCGGGAGGACTTACTCTAAGACAGTGGGTGAACCAAGCCTTTAAACCCAAACCAAGCGTGTGAAGTTGCGTGTGCGCGTGGGGCCTTGCAAGTGATGACCCTCGGGTGCGAATTCACCCTGCGCGCGATCACCACGGGCACGCTGCGGGGCTTACCCTGGAGAGACTACATTTCCCAGCAACCCCCGCTCCGTTCGGCCTACGTAATCTTCCTCGCCCAATGGAAAGCAGCAGCGGGTTTTATATTTCCCCTCGGGGCCGGCGGCCCTTTCCTTTCCCGGCCGGCGCGGCAAGATGGCGGTGCAGATCTCTAAGAAGCGCAAGGTGGGCGCCGCGGGGCGGGTTCCCGGGCTGGCGGGGCGGGGCCATATCGTCGGGGCCGGGCGCGAGGGGGGCCCGGGCAGGGTTTGGGGTCGGGAGTGTCGGGGACAGGGCGGCGGCGGGGGCGGATGAAGGCGGATGGAGACTCGGCCTGGCCTGGCCGCCAACATGGCGGCTCCCTGCATCTTGTGGGGGTGGCGAGGGGGGACAGG